GGGAGTCCCGAACTGTAAATAACACAGAAAATGCCCATCAGCTGGTAGAAATATAAGCCGGGGGGTGGGGGGCAGGGGGAAGCATACAGCAGGAGGCTGGGCTGCAATGAAAGTGAGCAACTACCTATTCCCCACAGCGGTGGCGAGGGGAGCTTGTAAAACCATGAGTTTCCCAAGAGAAGCCAGATATATTAACAAGCACACAGGTCTTTAAAGTTAGATGATGGACAACACTAAATTCTATTGTTTGTGGCTGGCAACCTGCCTCAGAACAAGTGGTTCTCAGTCAAGGGCGAATGTACCCCTAAAGAGCCATTTGACAATGCCTGGAGAGAATTTGGGTGCATTGCTGCCTCAGAATGCAACGGATGGCCACCCCCAAAGAGGTATCAATCCCCAAATGTCCCCAGGGCCTGGACTGAGAAGTCCTGCTCTAAAAGGGAAGTGGGGACGTGACTGCCATAGAAGATAAGAGAGGGAGAGGCTGAGAACGCAGCTGAGGGAGATGGGAGTATCAAGTGCACTAGCAACATTCTGTTTCTTGACCTCAGTGGTGTGGAGCTGGATGCAGGCAGACCTCAGAAATAGTGAGGACTCCATTCCACCATCACAGTTCATTGAGTCACCCGGTGGCTTTTGGTTTCCCAACACAGATAGAAGTTGCGTTGACCCGAGAATGCAGGCCATGACGTGTGCGATTGTGTGACGAATAAGTTTGAACTATTGGGGAAAACCATGCTGATAGACTTACTCAAATCAGGGTGCCCAGAATATGTTATGAAACATATTTTTAAAGGAACATAACAAAACAATGCAGGGTCTGTGATGTGCCGCCCAGTGAAGCGCAGCATAAGTGAGGCCTGCCTGTCCATGGTTTCGGCAAAGTCATTAAGGTGCATATTGGATGTTGTCCAGTTTTTTAAAAATCCTCTTAAAAAATCATCTTCTTGTGTTTCAGGTGAGTGTATACCCAGCAGATGCACACTTTCTATACAAATGGCTCCCTGGCATTGGCTCCCACTGGCAGACTGTCTCGGCGGTCTCCTTATTTCCGTGCTGGCAGTTGGGTCGCTGTTGATTTTGACTCCTGACCCCGCTTTGCCTTCTCATCTTGGCTTTTGGGTAAAAGTTGACTGTTGGTATTGGGCTGAAAGGCGACTTGACCTCCAGGAGTAACTTGCCATGCCAAGGTCAAAGGGTCTTTTAGGGCAATAGACTCAGGGGTTCCTCTATCGGTCCAGTAGGTTTGACTTCTTAAATGATTTTCTCTTCAAAGTGATGCTGGTGCAGTAGCTTGCTGAGATTGTATTTGAAATATCTCTCCTGGGGTGGGGTGGGGTGGGGATTATAAGGAGTCCTGGTGGTGTGAGCATTAGGTGTCAGATGGCTAACCGCAATGGTAGCGGTTCGAATCCACCAGCTACACCTCAGGAGAAAGATGAGGCTATCTGTCTCCACAAATATTTACAGGCTTGAACACCCTGTATGTGGTCATCGTGAGTCGGAGTTTATTAGGGGAAAACTATAAACTATAAACACTCCCTCTTACTGCCATTCTGACTCGTAGAGCTGCCCCAGTGGGTTTCTGAGACTGTCACTCTTTCCGGGAGTAGAAAGTCTCATCTTTCTCTCGAGGAGTGGCTGGTGGTTTTGAATTACTGACCTTGTGGTTAGCGCCAATGTGTAATCACCCGAGCATTAAGAAAAAAAGAAAATGAAAAGATTAACCTCAAGGGAACATTAGCTAAGTATACTCTTCACTAGCAAATTAGGTTCCTTTGGGCCCCCTTAAGTATCCCCCATGGCCCCCCGACAGCAAACTTCAATTAAAAGCTCCTTGCAATGTAGGAGCCATGGTGGCAAAGTGAGTTACATCCTCCTCGATTACAGGGAGCAAAGCATGCTAATATGTAGTTTGGTAGATGTTTAACAAAACCTGTACAGCATAGGCACTTATATTCGGTTATAATTATTTAATAGGGATATTAATTACAAATTTTATTCATTTCCTCAACATGCATTGAGGAGTCACTTGTAAGCACTACTCACCTTGAAATGTTCCCCAAGTACCTAAATGAATAATGTGGGAAAGATCCTTGGAAGTAGAGATGGATATGCCAATCAGATATTTCTCTTCCCACAAGGACTAATATCTAGTTCAAGGGAAATTGGGTGGGGGATTCGGACTGTGGAAGAATTCACAGACCTTGGAACATTCAGCATTGTTTGCCAGGTCCCTGCTTGAGCCTTGAACAAATGGACAGAGTGTTGGAGGGCTGGGCGATTCACTGCATTCAGTTTAAGAATCTGCTAGCGAGGACTGATCATTTCTTCAAGGCTCGGCTGTACCTCATAGAAAACAAAACAAATGTGTAAACACAGCAACACACCCCTATTGCACTTTGAAATTTCACTCTGACCTAGCAATGAAAATTTGTCCAGAAAGAATGCTAGAAGGCAGAAGTCCTTCCTAAAATGTAAGTATACAATTTGGAAGCGAGGGATTATTTTTGGCCGACAATAATGCTGCTTGGTGGCTTTAATACATTTTTCACAGGCAGAACACAAACGAAATCTAAGCTGACCCAATTTTAGCGTGGCGCTGACTTACTCACAGGTATCCATCAAAGAACCGAAGTTAAGGGGTTTTCAACCCAGAACCTCACTTTGTATTGTTGGCATATATTTAAAAATAAGTAGTTTCTGGGGGTAGGAGCTGGGTAGGTTTCCAGGTATGGGGTTTAATGGCAGATGGAATAAAGAATCACAAAAGGTCACTTCCTGTATTGCAGCCAGTCGGGGTCATGCCATCTCACTAAGTGCACGTCATGCCATCTCACGCACCTGGCCTGGCTGCCTTCTCTGAAGGGTACAGTGTGGCTAAGATTACTACCTGGATTCTACCTCTGAATATTCTAAGGGCCTTTGGTGATCTAAGGAGGCTCTGGGGGGCACAAATGGGTAAGTGCTACTTAAGGTTGGAGGTTCAAACCTACGCAAAAGTGCCTCAGGAGGTGAGCACCAGTGATCTGCTTCTGAAAGGCCAGAGTCACTGCTTTGCTCTGTGCAAGTGGTGTCGCCATGAGTCCGAATAGCAACTGACAACATGCCCTGTTCAAGACACAGATTTTCCCACAAGTTGGAAGGTCCCCTTGCACCTGAGTCCCTGTCAGTCTCTCCCTGCAATCCTCTTTGATGCCTGGCACCAAGTCTTTCATTCCCGGTCACTAATAAAATACATGGGAGTGCGGGGAACTCTGTTTTAGGTCTGGTTTTTTTTCCCTCTCTCTGTCTAAGATAGGGCTTGGCTTTGCATCGCTGAGTGAAAGACCCCAGTGGGCCTCTCCCTCACACACTATGGGGAGTGACTGCCTGAGGGGGTGCCTGAGGGTGCGGGGAACCTCCTGCCTCCTCTTCACTCTGTATCTAGGTGTGGAGTTACTAGGTCATAAGTTAGAGTCAGTGTTATTAGCCATAACTAGACAGTTGGCCCACCAATTGTCTAGTGTCTAGCAGCTGTGATACCGAGTGTTTATATTGATATTTATTTTTTTCACTGGCACTGCCTTTTTTTTCAGTTTTATTGGTACTCCACCCCTATAGTAGACACTTCAATAGTTCAACCCTGTCAAGAATCAATAGTTCAACCCTATCAAGAAGAGTTGTACAATCATTATCACAATCAATTTTAGAACATTTTCTTCTTCCTCGTACTCATTATTATGTGTAGTTATTTTTTAATTGTTGCAAAAATAGACACAAAACATTGTCCAATTCAACAATTTCTACCATGTATAACTCAGTGTTAGTGATTTTACTCTTCGTGTTGTGCAATCATTATTGATATTATTTTCCAAATTATTCCTCCACTAAAGTGAAGGAGCCTGGTGGCGTAGTGGCTATGGGTTGGGCCAGGATCCAAAAGACCAGTAGTTCGAAACCAGAGGCTATGTAAGAATGCTGGGGTCTCCTACTCTCATAAAGAGTTGCAGTCTTGGGGCAAGTCTACTGTGAGTTCGGTTGGTAGGTTTTTGTTTATGTTTGGAGTGGATAGTGCACCTACTGAAATTGTAAGTGCTAGACCATGGGGGCCACATTCAGTTTAATGTCACTCCACTGCCATCTGGACTTCCTGCTCTGGCCTCAGGCCCTGCCGCTGGCTGGGGTGGGCTGGGGGAGGTTGCAAAGTATTTACTTCTGTCCAGGGTTGGGGAAGGAACATTCTTCACTGCCCTGTTACAAAGTGCATGCACATACTGGTCGTGGGAGTGGGGGTGGGAGTGTCCTCCCGGGCTCAGAGGGGGCTCAGTTTGAGATTGACTCGTGAGCCCGGTGGGTGCTAAAAACGAGTTGATTTTTGTGTCTGCATTTGCATTTCACGCGCCTCTGGCTGCTGTGTTCACATCTCCCATGTCATTTTCAAGATTTGCGCCCAAGAGCAAAGGCGTAGAGGATCGCACCCCCTTGTAGATCAGCCAGTCTCCTAGACCAGCCCTCCCTTCCAGGGGATCCTCCATCACACACTGAGCACTGGGGACCTAGTCTTCCAGGCCAGGGTCCAGCCTGGCTCCCTCCCTTCCGCCCGCCCCGCCCAGCTGCCCCTCCTCCCCCAAAGGACTCTGTCAGGGGCTGCCTGGGACTGGCAGGCTCCAGACTTGCTCAAAGTTGGGGGAAAGTCTCTCTCTGGGGAGCCCCAGTTCGCCTGGCTTGGCCCGTGGCGAGACGCCAGCAGCCCCAGGTCTTGCTCGCCGCTCGCCGGGTCCCCGGAGCCGAGCTGGCCTCGTGGCTGGAGTGGGAGCGCTGGCCGAACCGCCGCCTACACCTGTCGTGACCGCTTGGGCGCTGCTGTCCCTAACAGTTGGAGGCGCAAGGGGCTGGTCCAAGGCGGAAGGCAGAAACGCCGCCCCTCGCGCTGACTTGCAGCGCCCTCCTCCTCCTCCCCCGCCCCCGCCGCCCCTGGTCCCTGGTCCCCGGCGGCTCCGCAGCGGGACGCGGGTGCCCAGAGCCAGGCAGGCGCTCCGCCGCTCGGAGCAGCTCACGCCAGCCCGGCCCGGGATGGCGGTGGAGTAGGGGGCTGGTGACAGGCGCCGCGACCGAAAGCTACTCCTCCTAAACAGCGACATGGGGGACCCAGTGCGCCGCCAGAAGCCACAGCTGCACTACGCGGTGAGTATCGCGGCGTGCGCACAGGCGACAGGGGGCGCCACTGACTGGAGGGGTGAGGGGCCCCCGCGGCTCCCCGGAGGTACTCGGTGATGGTGGTGGTCCTGGTAGTAATGGTAGTGGTGGTGCCGTACTGTGTGCCCCACCGGAGTGAGTGTCACCTGCTCTGGAGCTTGTATTGTGGTCACCGCCCCGGGGCTGGGTTTTTGAGCCCAGAGCTCCTGGGGCAGGCGCAGGCCACCCCATG